TGGTGAGATAGCTCAGCAGACTAAAATGCCTGCTTAGGCAAGCGCAGGGACCACAGTTCAATTCTCTGCACCACATGCTGTGCCAGCCCCCAGGGCTGGCAGAGCTGGCCAGAGTGGGCATGGTGGCACATGCCTGTAATCTCAGCGCTGGGGAAGTTGAAAAGCAGAAGGATCACCACAAGTCCAAGCTATGTAGTGAGACCCTGCAACAACCAAATACATTTAAAAAAGAAAAAGAGAGGCTGGGGAGATAGCTCAGTGGAATAAGTGCTTACCTAGCAAGTGCAAGGGCCTGAGTTCAATCTGTGGTTCCACAAAATAAAATAAAATAAAATAAAAAAGAAAAAGAAAAAAAAAAAAAGTAACAGCACCACACTGCATTCCTCAATTTACAGGACAAGGATGATAGGGGGCTTGAAGAGGGAGGGGCGCTACCATCTGTGTGGGTCTTCAGCCCATGATGTGGTTTGGAGAGCTGTGGCAGGAATTTATTTGTTCAGGGCTCCTGCCAAATGTGTTTTACAAGGAGAAGACTGTCTATAGGTGAGGCATCCACATTCTCAGTGATGAGGGTGGAAGCTCAGCAAGTCCACCAGGCTATTTCAGTAGTCCCCAGGTTGGACCCCCTCCTATGGTGCTGGTGTGAAGCAGCCGCACCCAGGTGCTCAGGCACATATGTGTAAAGGCCCATTTACTCCAGGACCACCATAAGGCCATTCTAGAAGGGTGGCTCAGGAGTCAGGCACAGTAACTTTTCACAGGATTCTTTGTGTATGTCTATTTCAGACCACATGAAGCCTGCTTCATTCTTGAGCCTTTTTTTTTATTTTATTTTTTTTTAATGAATTTAGGACAGGGTATACAGGGTCTCAGTAAATAGATCTGACTCATAGTGATTCTCTTGTTTTCACCCTCCCAAGTGCTGGCATTACAAGCGCATACCACCTTGCCTAGTTCGTTCTTTCTTTCTTTCTTTCTTTCTTTCTTTTTTTTTCTTTCATGCTCAGTTCTTGAGTTTATCTTGTTACCCCATGTTCTCATCCAGGACAGAATTATAACTTGCTTCACAGAAATTATACAATAGGGGCTGGTGAGATGGCTCAGTGGTCTAAAGCACCTACTTGGAACAAGCTTGGCAAAGCACAGGGACCGCGGTTCAATCCCCCAGCACCACATGCCAGTCAGCCCTGCCCCCTGGTAGGCTGAGCTGGCCACACACACACACACACACACACACACACACACACACACAAATAAATAAATTTAAAAAAAAAATTATACAATAGACTCTTTTTTTTTTTTTTTGCGGAGCCAGGGATTGAACTCAGGACATTGTGCTTGCTGGACGAACACTTATTCAACTGAGCTATCTCCCCAGCCCCTAGACTCTTAAACTTGGACATTTCCCTTTTAAAATGTGCGCATGTGCAGCTGGTGAGCTAGCTCAGTGGACTCAGTGCCTGCTTTGGCAAGCTCAGGGACCAGGCTTCCATCCCCGGCTCTGCCCCCAGGGCATGCTGAGCTGGCGACCCCTGGCACATGCCTGTAATTCCAGCACTGGGGAGGTGGAAAAGAGGAGGATCACTATGAGTCTGAGCTGCATAGTGAGACCCTGTACCAAGTACATAAATGAAAAAAAAAAGTATAGGATTGAACCCAAAGCCTTCAAACTGAGCTAATTCTCTTTTGTTTTCTTGTATTGTCTTGTCTTTTGGGAGGGGTGCATGTGTGTGTCCTGCTTAGCCCACCCTGGGGGCAGGGCTGGCATGGCATGTAGTGCCAGGGATCGAACTGTGGTCTCTGCACTTGACTAAACTTGCCTAAGTAGGCACTTCACTCCATAGAGCTATCTCGCTGGTTTATGGTTTGTCTTTTTGAGACAGGGTCTTGCCATGCAGCTCAGGCTGGCCTTGCACTCACTTTGTAGCCCAGACTTGTTTTAAACTCACAGTGATCCTCCTGCCTCAGCCTCCTGAGTGCTAGGATTATAGGCATATGCCACCACAACCAACACTGTCTCTTCTCACAGTAACTAGAAAAATAATTACTAAGCCAAGCATGGTAGCACCTATCTTTAATCCCAGGCGTGCACCAGGAAGCTGAAATGAGGAACATTTTTGCCCCTGAGTTTAAGACTGGCTTGGGCACAGTGAGACCTCAACTGACCCAAAAAAGGTTGCTTTTCCAACTCACATGTTTCCTCTACCCAACCCTTGGATCATCAGCCCTAGGGTTGATCTAGCCCTAGGTAAAGCCCATTTTATGTTAGTGCGTAGAAAGAAAGCAGGAGGGGAAGTTAAAAGTGCAATAAAATTCCAGCTTATAAATTGTCAGTGCTGTTCCTGTTCATAGGCGCTTTCCTTAGATTCCAGATGCAGGTTCCTGGTAACCTGCATCATCTCTTTCACTCTGCCTAGCTCAGTGGTGGCATGAGTGCTGTAGTGGGCTGTTTGTTATTACTGAAAGCCCTAAAAGTTTTGACTCTTTGCCTTGGATTGACAACTGATAGTCAACTGGTAATGCCCAGCTGAACTGTCAGCGCAGTGCTGGGTGTGGAGGGCCCACCTGACAGTTGTTGCCATCAGCATAAAGGGGGAACTGGAGAGGAAGATGGTCCTGTGTTTCTCCTGGAGAAGCTTGTCACGCTGGTTTTCCTGATATGAACTCAGGTGTTCTCATTGTCAAGAGGAACTCCGGTCCTCACTTTCACTGAGGGTGGCTGTGGGTCTTTTCCAGTCCTTTCCTTGAGCATCACTTCCTGGCCCCAGTGCAGGTCAACTGGTAATGCCCAGCTGAACTGAGTCAGCATGGTGCTGGATGTGGAGGACACAGATCCTTCATCCAGGTGGCGCAGATTTTTTAGCTTCTGCCACTGACCTTGGGGCCTTCCCAGTGCAGATCCTTGATGCAGACTTGCCTGAGACATTGCGGTGGGATTCAGGCCCTCAGCTAGATTCTTTGTTTTGTTTTTAAGGTGTTTTTTTTTTTTTTTTTTTTTTTTCCCCCTGGAACTGGGGATTGAACTCAGGCCCTTGTGCTTGGCAAGCACTTATTCCACTGAGCTATCTTCCCAGCTCTGCTAAAGATTGCTTTGTTTGTTTGTTTTGCTTTTTGCGGTAGCAGAGATTGAACTCAGGACCTTGGACTTGCCAGGCAGGTGTTTATGCCACTGACCTATATCTCCAGCCCCTCAGCTGGATTCTTTGGATCTCTAGTGTGTGGACAGATCTCCCACTCTCTTTTGCATTTGACTCTTTTAGTGAATATAATAAAATACTCCTATAAATTGTATCCTGTATTTAGTCTTTTCTCTTGTAAATCCTGACTGCAACATTGTTTGAATGGAGGTGTTCTACATAAGCTGATATGGAGAGACATAGTTTGATAACAGAGTCTCAACCGCAAGCCCTCCTAAGTGAAAATCCAAGCTCCCATCTTCCTTTTGGATCCCATTTCTTTCCCAGGCTTTCCCCCGCCCCCCCTTCCCAGGCTTTTGTTTTGTTTGTATTTAGTACAGAATCTACACAGTCTCTACATAGATCGGACTCATAGTGATCCACCTATGTTCAGCCTCCCAAGAGCTGGGATTACAGGCACTTGCCACCATGATGCCCAGTCTCAATTGCTGTCTCAGCGTACCCTGGGGGTGGGGTCAGCACGGCATGCTGGGGATCGAATCCTGGCCCCTATGTCTGCCCTTAGCAGGCGCTTTAATCCACTGAGCTATTTGGCCAGCCCTTGTTTTTTTTTGTTTTGCTTTGCTTTTCTTTGTTTTGTTTGAGACAGGGCTTCACTGTGTACTTTAGGCTGGCCTCAAGCCTTTGTTGCTCTTCCTGCCTCAGCCTCCCAAGTACTGGGACTATAGGAGGCTACTTCAGTTTGAGAAGATGCCTAGACTGTTAGAAGGAGACTCTCTCCTTGACAAAGAAGATCAGGTCCTTTAATGATGATTTATATAAGCCAAGAGACTGTGTACCTGTGTGTTCAAGATTCCCCTCTATATTTGAATACAGATTTAACAATAGCAGGTTAACAGCTCTTTTAATTAGATGAATTAAGAATGTTCTCTGTTATCACCCCCTCCCGCCCCCCTGTCACCTCCAGTTCCCCATTGCTGTAAGGGTGCTGTGGTTTCCAGGGTAACAGAACTACCATCCCAGGTTGCCTCTCCCAGTTTGGTCAGAAGCTAGTTGTGGGCAGTCCTTCTCAGAGCCATGGGCTCTGGAAGGGGGCCTTTGGCTCAAAGCCAGCCTGGGCTATGCAGTGAGACCCATGTCTCAAAAAAAAAAAAGGGGGGGACTGGAGAGATGGCTCAGTGGTCTAAAGCACCTACTTGGAACAAGCTTGGCAAAGCAGGGACCGCGGTTCTAATCCCCCAGCACCACATGCCAGCCAGCCCTGCCCCCTGGTGGGCTGAGCTGGCCACACACACACAATAAATAAATGTAAAATAAATAAATAAAATACGCTTTTAAAAAAAAAAAAAAAGGAAAGAAAATAGAAAAGAAAGAGGGCCAAGGATACAGCTCAGTGGCATAGCACCTGCCTGGCATGCGCAGGTCCTGAGTTCAACTCCCAATCCTCCTCCCCTCAAAAAAGGAAAAGTTAGGGGCTGGTGAGATGGCTCAGTGGTCTAAAGCACCTACTTGGAACAAGCTAGGCTAAGCAAAGCACAGGGACCACGGTTCAATCCCCCAGCACCACATGCCAGCCAGCCCCGACCCCGGTGGACTGAGCTGGCCACACACACACACACACACACACACACACAAAATAAATAAATTTTTTTTTTTTTTAAAAAAAAGGAAAAATTATTTCTCATCCAAAATAAGAGGATCCCACCCCCTCTGCTTGCAGAACTTCTGACATGGGATGAGAACTTGCCCATTCCCAGCCTGACCATTTCCTGGGCTTCCAGTGTTAGTTTCTCCCTGGATTTTAGTATTCTTGGTAACAAATCTTACTCCTATTCTCTTTTCTTTCTTATCTCTCCTGCTCAGAGAGTATTCAATGTCCTTTACCCCATGCCTGCTGACCAGCGGAGACATGTCAGCATCAACTCTGCCCGCTGGCTGCCAGAGCCGGGGCTTGGCCTGGCCTATGGCACCAACAAAGGAGACCTGGTGATCTGCAGACCAGAGTGAGTTGCTTCGGGGTCCTGTGGGGTCGGGGCTTGGCTGGGACTGGAGCGAGCGCTGGTTTGTGGGCCAGAGAGAGCAGGAATATCCTGCTGGAGCCTTACAGTCTCTCCCTTAGATCGGACTAGTTCCTCCTTCCAGGTAAGTCAGTGTAAAGCAGGTTCCACCCCCCGCCCTTTATTGACTGCTGTCTCTTATTCTCTGGTTTCCTAGTGATAGTAAAGTCCCTGCAGGCAAAACTGTAGATAAAAAAATTATTCTTTAAACCCTTTTAAAATATTCAGTCACGGAGGCTAGGACTAGCTCACTGAGAGAGTGCTTACAGAGCATGTGCAAGGGCCTGGGCTCAAACCTCTGCTCTGAAAAATTCAACAGGTGGTCTTGGGTTTATGTAGATCCTATAGCCAGTAACTTAAGAAATAAAATTGGAAATGGAGCATTGTTCACACTCTTAATTTGTCAAGCCACTGATCTCTAACAGCCTGTCTGTGTGTCCTTCCTTTTTCCTTTGTGCCTGAAGCATTAGCTATACTGGTGAAGGAGATCAAAAAGCTTGAGTTCAAGTCCAAGTAGTTATTCTCTGTCTTGGGGCAGAGTGGGTGGGTAGTTGGAGCACGAGCTTTTCTGTCCAGCAATCCTCTCCTCTGGTCCTGCGGAGTACAGGGTCTCCCAGTATTGGCTCACTCAGGACTCTGGGTATCTGCCAGCTTGTCATCAGCTTCCAAACCCAGCCAAGGTGGGGAGCGTGAGCTCAGTGCTTCCTCGCAGATCAGGCTGATTGCTGCGTGGGACGCTGCAGGGCTCCAGCTGACTAAATGCCATTTCGGCCTCTGACTGTCCTGATGCTGCCTTTTCCTCAGGCATAGTCTCCTTGGAGGGTGTCTGCACACCACAGAACTTGTTCGACTAGGCTGTTGGGTCTCTCTGTTGGAGGTGTTTATTTAGCTTTTTGTTTGGTTTTGGTTTTTTTAGACAGGGTCTAGGGGCCAGGAAGATGGCTCAGTAGAATAAGCACTTGCCTGGCAAGCACAAGGGCCTGAATTTAATCCCCGGTTCTGAAAAAAAAAAGGGGGGGGGGTGTCTAGCTTTTGTAGCCCAGGCTGATCTCAATTTCTTTTTTTAAAAATTTTATTTTTTTTTAATTTTATTTGTGTGTGTGTGTGTGTGTGTGTGTGTGTGTG